CTTGTTGTCCTGAATATTAGTGCTCAGACTCTAAAATGCTGAAGGAAACAGGAATACCCACAGAAAATACAATGGTCACGCAGGTGACCACACCCGTTCACGTCCGATCGGGAAATCGAACCCAGGCTGTTTTGGTGAAAGGCGAGTGCGCTATCCACAGCGCCACCCGACCACACAGGAAACGAGGACATATCAATAAGACCTAATACGTATTCATTAACACACCGGTGGTAGGGTTTTGTAATAATAAGATACGTGGTATGTGGTATTATGGCAGTGCTACTCATGATCACAGGCTTGCATCTACAATGTAGTCATCGGGTATAGTTGTATGGACATACAAGCATCTATGTTTTCTCTTTTAAGCACAAGTCTCTTAATGGAAAAAAGGAAACACATTATATATGTAATAATACTTTTCGAAACAAAATGGACAATTAAAATGATATTATCTTTCATATAAGATACGTTGTGTAATCATATTTATATGAAATGAACACGTGCATCAAAAGCAATTTCTGGTCCTAGCGCCGAAGAGTATATCTGCCGAACGTCTGGCGTAATATCATCTGGCATATAAGAGACACGGCCATTTGTAGATAAGTATGATCAATGAAGCTGTGTTGACGCGAAATAACCTTACAGTAGTAAACGAAACATTGAAGTTCTCATTTCTGTTTCAGATAAATGTTACGGTACATGCTAACGTTTTGTTTTGGGTATTCTAGACATAAATTGATATGAATGTAGATATATGTTATAAAGCATGGTACTGGCGTTGTATTGTGTGTTACACACGAGGAGAGAGTTTTTTAAGTATTGATGTCATTCATAAATCAACATCGAAGTAAATCGTGATTGATTTCTACATCGTTTTCTTATATGGATCAAGTAATGCAAAATACTTGTTCATATGTCGTATTCAGTTTGATCATGGAATAACTCTTCATTTACGTATGAACGCCTAGTCATACTACCACCGTATGCCTTAAGAATTGTTGCTCCAAAAAGGGAGAAGGCGGTGCATTGAGGGAGACATACATGTATACATACGCTGTTATAGTAAAAGATCGGTTTGGTTTTACTTTGTTTAACGTGTCATGCACTACTAAAGTCATGTATGGTCGTGCCTCCATTTGTGTAATGTACATGTGCTTATGTGTTTTTCATTTCAAAATATTTCATTATATCAATAAGATTTAATGGGAATTGGGCAACAGGCAAAGCCTATACAAGCCCTCCCCCAGGAGGTACATCTCAAACAATAGCAATATAATAAAATGTTTTTACATAATGAACATGCTTTAGAAACATAAGAATTAGATCAGTGCCAATTATGATAGGAAACACCATACATACCCACATGCATGCATACATACATGTACAAACATACAAACACTCATACATGCATACATGCTTGTATGCATGCACCCACACCCACACACACACACACACACACACTCACACACACATACACACACACACACACACACCTATACACAATAAATACATACATACATACATACATACATACATACATACATACATACATACATACATACAAACATACAAACATACATACACACATACATACATGTGCTTGTGTGTATGTGTGCTTGAGTCAAAGTATGCATTTGCCTGCATGTTATAGCGTGAATCTGATACCAACTTTAAAGTGCTACTTTATCTTACTGAAATGCCATTCAGAGGGCATCCTGCACAATATTCCACCCGGTCACATTTTACTAATAACGGGTAAACCAGTTGTTGCGATAAACCTGATTGCTGAATGTTTTGCGGGAAATAACAACTTCATGTACCATTTATAATGATATTGAAAGGTCCCGGCGGCCCGGGGACAGAACCAATTGCCTACCCCACTTGGGAAAACGCTCAACACTAAAGCCACTAGAGGGAAACTATATAGATCCCAACTGATGCAATTGGGTCAGCTGGTAAACTCTGGTTTTTGCAATGGCCCCTTAGGGCTAGTATATCCCCTAACCTGAAGGGTGAAAGTTAGAAATAAATTTGTCACCGTATAATGAATACATATGTAGATAGTAAGTGCGTTAGTGCATAAAACGGATGAATTAAGTATTACATGTAGGGGTTGTTCATCAACTCGATTCCAATATAAAACATAATAATGCAAATGTATCTAAATGTTAAATTGCAAATATTTATTGCGAGATTTGGTTTGAACATATTTTTATTGTAAACACGTTATATGTTGAAATCATAACTCATGTGATCCATCCTGTAATATTTGTTTTCCGTACGTAAACAATATTTACTCAATATTAAAACTGTCACAATTCTCACCTTCAACCGATGGATTCTTTAAAATTCCACTATGTTGATGAATGTCAGTTACAGTGTAAACATAAACAATGGGTATTGCAGAGGGAAAAACCAGTTCAGTGCAAATATTTAATACCAGAACATTTGTTCTTTATAGTTCTTACACTAGTGTAGCCCTATTTAGTAGATTATTAGTGTCAGACTTGTATGTTTTTCAACGATTGAGTAAATTTTATCAATTGAAATTATACCGCTGTCCAATTAAAGTTCACAAATCGGCTCCATTCATATGTGAAATATAATGCGTCATATAATATATGATTTGATCTTCAGCCAATCTTAAGCAATTGACAATAAAAGTACAAAAGGTTGTGTCTCAACACTTCCGCCAGATGACTTAAGGTTAATCATACGTAATGAAGAGTTAAATTTATATTCAACTAAGCAAAGGATTTTTTTTTAATTTTTTTTTTAACAAAAACATTAAACCAGTGACACTTACAAACCAGTGGTCATAGGTTATTCTCCTAGCTAATACATATACTATGCAATACTATTTCAAAATCCATTTTATCATGTTTAGGAAATACCTTATTTTGAAAAAATCTGAACGACCTTTTATTTTGAATGTTTAATGAATGCAAAAAAGCAACTGTAATGAGCTTCAAAGATAATACACTGTTTCAGTATTGCAATATCTACAAAACGAAACTGACACATTCCCTGTTGCCCATCTACCCTCCACTCTTTTAGCACTCATCATTTTATCAGAAATGTATCAATCATATAATTTAATACTTTTGTCACTTACATCTTGTATGTCGGATGATTTTAAAATAAGGTAATGCATTATCGCAACTAAAATATATGTACAGTTGCACCAACAGATGACAATGACTGAAATATTTAATGAGTAGAATGAATAATCAAGCACAACGATATAAACATATGATATGCGTGCATATGCCGAAGTGCTGAGACGAACATACCGCCCTTGCGTGCTATGTAGGGAGGCGAGCTCGGTATCTGTCAGCATTTGACTGTTTTTGTCCATAGTGACACCACAGTATTGGCTGCCAAGAAAGCCAATATAGTCAAAACCAAATATTTGTCTTAGCTTCCCCTGCCGACTAGTCTGTTGTAATAGCTTAGCATGCTATACAGAACAATGTGTTGACAGACTTAATTTACTTGTATTGTAGCGTAGTGTAGAATACAATAGTGATACATCAGTCCTTACGACTTGAAGTCAAGCACTCCTCCGATCTTTAAAAGATCTGGTTACGATATGGAACAAGCGTCCGTCTATGTAACAAAACCTTCAGGGGATTCTGATTTTCATAGCTACCATGGGAATCCCGATATGTAAAATGCATATGAAAACTACATTTGCGTCAAATATTCTAGTAATTGTTTCATGGCAAAAGAATAAACAGCTATATAGCATAAATTGTGAGTAATCTTTGCCTCTGACTAGTGTGCTTTTAAACACGAAATGGATATACGCATACAACGTATGGTATCTAGAGATATTAATTCGCAGTGCCCTAACAACCGATCAGAAAAAAATATTGAGATAAGCGCCCTCGCACTGAGGCATTTTATTACATTATCTACCTAACCTATTACCGCTATGATGAAAAAAGAAATCAGAAAAAAATATCAATGAGTGGGACATGGGTGTTTTTACTACAAATCGGCTTGTTTTAGACCCTGCCACCGGTCATAAAATCACACTCATAAAACCACGTATTATACTCGTATATTCTTAGAAAACTATTTCCCTTCTATACTTTTAGGTACCGTAGTGTTACGGTTAAATAAAACGGGAAATAAATAACAACACTATAACAGATATCGCACTGTGCTTGCGACAGGTTTATCTCTTTTGTTAGATCACCGATGATCTGACTGGAAGTCAAAGGAAGGTGGTAGCACAATGATATAACGATACAGGCACGGCAGTGTCTAGGTTGTTAAGCTCATTCGTAACTGTTTATCATTTTTTGGGGGTATGTGGTCTGTTTTACGTTGCACTCGACGATAATGCGTCATTTAATTAAAAAAAACAAAAACATCATTCGTGTCAACGTTTTTATACAACATTACCAAATAATGAGTAGTTGGTGAGGTGTTACCGGCATATTCTTAGCAATACTTTTCTGTATCAACACATATGTTTTTCTACAAGGAGACATTTAAGCGGTTCTCGACATCGGAATTAATCATAATTGTACACATCGGTGCAAAGATAGCATGTCAAAACTGATAAATTGTTACGTTTTGCGTATTCTTAAAGATGCCAAAGACATATATGGATATGTGAATCACTCTTTATCAAATTGTAAGTAAAACACATCGACACATTACTTGGTATACATGTATAAAACGTAAGTGACAATGAGCTGTTAAAGAGACAATAAAACACCAATCCCGCTTACTTCTGTTTCAAACAACAGAAGGTGACGCTATGTAGTAATTTACGTGTAGACTGAAATACAATTATGGGCAGAAAAATAAAATTTGACATGTTTTGTAAAATCTCATGGCGTCGTCGGGGTACAGTTTAAAGCGACATTCTGAAAATGCTACCGTGCCACAGCCACATCGAAGAGCAGTTAGTGACTATATGTTTTCCTTATGGAAGCATTCCCAAACTGTAGAATATCTGTTATGGCTTCTCTATGTCGTTGTAGGTCCCATGAGAGACAAAAATGTACCTGATTTGTGTAATCAAAACCGCATGATTCTCGACAAATGGCCATGGATAGGTAAGAATATCTACTACTAAAATCATTGCAATTATTTTAATGAGTAATTCGTTTTTTGCTATACAATGCAAACGATTTTTATCAAGATTTTTTCCCCCATTACAATTCGATGGCATGCGGGTAAATCACGTTAAGGGAGACAGATAAGATAGATTCGTGTTTGTTACAAAACATGCCGTTAAAGCATTACCAGTAGTATATTAACCTAACTAAATCGTTCAAAAAACACAATACATGTATCGTGCAATATATGGCGGTAGACGATAGTACGGTTTATCCTATATTCAATTTTTTAATAAGAAAAATATCTTTCTTTCTAAATATTTAATTTGAATGGCATTATTACAGTTTTCTAACACTTTACCAAAAAACTTTATGAACATATTTATTTTTAATATAGCAACATGGAAGCCGCAGGCAACAGATTGTCCAATAAGCGGAGGGTTTACATTTAGAACCATAAGTAGATTAACCAATCAGGTAAAATATGACAACAAAATTATTAAAGAAATGTAAGACAAATTAATTCCATACAAATTAATATATTAAATACCATAGGATATGTGTTAGTTATATTAAATGAATACATATGTATATGCACAGATATTACTACTGGTTGTTGTTTTGGAATAATTGTCAAAATGCATTGAAATACGTTACTAATCATAATGATATTTAATGTTAAAAGAAGTATGATTTTTTATTCATTTTCCAGGATATTTGTGAAACCGACTGGCGCAGATCCAAATTAGAGATTGAATGTGTAAAAGGGGACGGTCTTGACTTTATAGCCCCTAAAGGGAGCAGGTGTAATCCATTTTTATCACACGGGGAACGTAAGTGTTTATCTTGTATATATTTCCCTACTCACATATATCAAATTTTGCTTGTTACATATTGTGTTTAGTTTTAATTGTTCATTGTCTTTCAGTTTACCAAGTGTTACACGATATGTAACAGGACTAACAATCTTATTTAGATACGAGAAAAATGACACATTAGGCAACAATACCTAGACACACACAATACAAAATAGTTTCATAAGAATTTCTGACATTGTGCTGCCGTACATGGTAAAATACATCTAATTTACGGCAATGTAAAGTCATTCTGTGATGTCTGTATGATGCATCATAAGTCCCCAGTTGTGAAAGATGTATCTCAACGTAAGTAAAATTGTATTATATCAATGATTACGTTTAACGTTACTCTAACTCAACATTTTTCGTATTGGTGGCGTACTACATATGTGATGTTAAATGCCAACTTGCCAATATTTCAATGTAATGTTCATGGATACTCATCTTTATTCTGTGTATTTCTTTCCTTCAGATAATTTTAAGCAACAGAATGGCGTCATTTCCAAAGCGCTAATAATTGCCGTTAATTAAATAAATTGAGTACAAGGAAGTGTATTTAATGTAAATTAGTCCTAAGAAAAGTTTAATTGGTACGTTTAAATTAGATTTGTCTATTTCGCATATTGAGATTGGAATAAGTGTTGAACTGCAGCATCGGGTGATCGGGTACGTTTAATAATGTAGAGAGGAGATAAAGGGTACACATGTGTTTTCAAAGTTGACGTTATTTCCAAAAAAGGACGTTGGTGTGTATTTTCTATCTGAAACTTTATCAATTATTTAAATGCAATTGGCTCGCATGATGAAATCTTAATGTTTAGTATCGGAGTAAAGGTAATTGAATTAAGTGTGCAAATGGAATATCACTGGTAACATTATGGTGAGTACATGTACTACTAATTATCAATGAATATAGATTTGTTCTCTCGCTTAGCAAGAAAGCAAATAAATTATTCATTTTTTTTCAAACGGTGCTACACATTTGTATACTGTTAAAGTTATATATATTGTCAGGGCTAGGTAGCAAATTTTGAGGCCATTTCATGATTACAGTAACATTTTTGTTTGATGAAATATACATTGCAGGTGCATACATACACTACATATGATATTTATTATTAAAATCAAATTTTGGATAACTGTATGAAAAGCTTAAGAAAAAGGGCATACTTTTAAAATAATTCAATCATAAATATAATCATTAAAAGTAGCTTTCTTTGAATAGCTTTAATAATTCTGATAAACAAATTTGATAACATGTATTTAGGAACAGTTTATTTTTGAGAATTCTTAGAGATATCCATTCTTTTCCTTGATAAACCTGGTTATATAAATATCACGTTATTAATATCACGAACAAATTGATTAGCGGTAAAAGTATACAGTATTATATCGATTCTTGGTGTAATTCTTGAATGAGCGGAGTATATGTGTAAACAACGAGCGTTCACGCCCACCGAAATCTAAAGGTTCGTCAAATGGCAATGTTAAAGTGAAGGAAGAATCGGTTAAGTAATTTTCGTGGTATTTGTTTTATATCGAATAGTTTTGCTTACATTATTTATTACTTTGGAATTAATTTCCTTTGTTACGATTTTTTCCCAATATGGATATCAATTCATTGTATAAATCTATGAATAAAATTTGTTAATAAACGAACGTAGTGTTTTAATCTTAACACCCCACTCGTAACATTTTCATATTAGATAAATTGACGCATCGAATGCAACATATGCAGTCATCCTTAACGGATTTACGCAATCATATAAATTATATTTAATATACACGTGTAACCCTTAAAAAGTGTCGACTGCATCTAAACGGTATCAATAGCGCATTTAATATGTCAACGGTTTAAATTTGTTTTCTTTTCAATTAAGGTTATTTTTATGACCATTGGCAAACATGTTTGTATGTTACTTTGGTGTCGACAATGCGATGTTGCTTGCAATATAGTTTAATTCAGGGGTTTTTTTCCTATTCCAGACAAACGTTTATACTGCTGGGCAGGGTGGGAATTCGGACAGTACATATACATGGTGGCATCTGGTGAAGAAGAGGATCCGCAGTTCTGTATTGTAAATATTGATTAACTTATATGCGATATAAATTAACTATCTAATTTTACATAAATGATGTAATGATCATTTTAGAACTAATGTCATAGGTGCATGTGTAGGTAATGATATTACATTTTCATTTTCGGTCATTTTTCTATTTTTTTATTTGCTAATCGAATATTCAATAAACCAATGCCTAGTGTGTGAGAAACCTTGATTGACTAGAGAGGTTCAAACATGAAGTGCCATGAACGACATAATAGATTAACCCAAGATGTACATAAAGCAGGGCTGGTTTTTTTCTGTTACAGAGAATACCAAAGAAAAACGACGGAGAGTTCGTGGCACTTGTGTATTTTAGTGTCATTTGCCCTGTAGAAGACGATGGTCAACCCCCGACTGGATTTGACTACTATGAACTCCACTTACAGAGGACAGGTGAGAAAACAAAAGGCAATCATATTTTTGTTCATGAATTTTAAGATAATATGGTCTTAGGATGAGAGAATAAAAATACATTTTATCTTACCTTTCACAACTTCAGTTGAGTCATCAAGACTTGGTCCATTGTACAAGTATATGCATTTTTTCCTAATATGTTTGTTCTCGAAAACAAGAGCTGTAGTTGCATTCACTTCTTAATATCACGGTAACAGTGAGCCAATTGATTTCCTAAATTATACATGTACTCAATTTCGTCATAAGAACTTATATAGAATTTCAAGGAAAAATCAACCAAAATTGTTTTTAATGATCTATTTATAACACGTGATCGATTGAATGATGTTCGGTATGTATTTTATTTCTCTTTAGATAAATTCACAGTCTCCTTTGACTATAGTTAAAGTGATAGGTATTGCGCTTTAACACGTTCAGTTCACTTTTGTTTTATAACAGACCCAAATGAATGCAAGGACGAGAACAGAGAGATGTGCGCAAAATTCCGCGAACGGGGAGTTTGTGACAAACCCAACAATAAATTCGTACAACACTGCAAAAAGAGTTGTAATATATGCGGTAAGGGTTGTCAGTGTTATATTTGGTAATGTAAATACCCCCATGTTCCGCCATGCAGTCGACATTATACATATTTCAGTAGTCATTTAAAGTCCTATCCGCAACATTAGTCGTTTTAATATCCGTAGCTGAATCTGTTTGAAATCAAGTACAAATGAAAATATACCTATGCAAATTATATTTGTTTTATCTTTAATTGAAAAACAATAATGTTGTCAGACAAAAGGGAAAGACAATACAAAAAATGAAAAAGGTAGTGGTAATGTACATACTATTTAAATAGTTGTTGTTTTTAAGATCCATTACAATGTTCTGTTTTTTTTAAGTAAGGGGGTCAACCATTCAGGAAAGTCGTTTTAACATCAGGTAATAGTCTGTTGTTCATTTCATTTTCGATATAGAGAAACGTTTGCATGAAGATGAAGACAATTTTAAATAAGAGTTATTTCCCCTTTTCCATATTTGCCGTTAAGATAACAAAATATGTTCATTGAACAAAATAATCTTAATATCTGTTGTGTTTTCAAAAAACAGAGCCGAGTTGTTTAATTTGTTACATTACGTTTGTGTGAATATGAAGGTAATTTTAAATAAGAGTTATTTCCCCTTTTCCACGTTTGCCGTTAAGATAAACAAAATAATCTTAAAATTTGTTCTGTTTTCAGAAAACAGAGCCGAGTTGTTACATAAACAGTGTCAGTTTGACGATATTTTACACGGACAGTGGGTGTTATACGACCGTGGACGACACGAACAGATCTATATCAATAATTCCGTGATGTCATTCTCCCACTTTGGTACATTTCACTGCAAGGAAAGAACACAAGAGGAGCGAAAATATAAGCTCATCTCAGTTTTTGACAACGGATGGTAAACTTTGATTCTTGTGTTGAGCATTATTATTACAGAATATCGGCGTGTATTTTATCCCAGAAGAACAACTAGATTATACGAGTATTCGGATATATTTTATTCGCAATTCTGATTGTCATGTGTTGTAACGAATAAGCCTCGACAGATGTATCCGTACAGAACTAGACATATGTACAATTGTATATATAAAAAAAAAGGGAATTATGCAATGCAATCTGATAGCAATACAGATGAAGACTTTGATTCTAATAATTTTCATGGATTCAAAAAGAGAACAACTTGACTTACACCACAGATGATTTACGAAATATTGCCCTGTCCCTCTCAGAGCGCCTTTTTCACCTCAAATGTCAAGTTGGGAATCATGGAGCTACGCGGGTCCAAAATGTTTACATAAATCCCCCCTCAGTTCCTCTTTATATCAAATTGAATCTTATTTGGTCCCGGTGCGTTGATTATGTTGTGCTTTCTCCTCTTGGGCTTTCTTAAGTGAATTTAATTTGAAAAGCCAACTGTGATGTAAGTTTGTAAAACATTCATATAAAATGATAACTTCCACATTGAAAATAGAGATAGACAATACATTTGTACCTTGGCGCTTGGGCACAAAGATATTTTTCTTAAATGCAAGTTGGTATTAATGCATTATTTCTAATATCAAAAAATACTATCGTTAGTGTGTATAATATTAAAAAGAAACACTAAATATAATAAATTAGCAATATGCTTATTGACTGTACATTACACTATATCAGTTTTTGGTTTTAATAATTCACAAAGCACGTATATTTTGATTCCTTTTTTTACTGAACCATGATAACACATTTTGTCATATACATAATACTAAATGCTCATTATACCTGAAGCGCGATGGATTTTTACTTTGTTTAACCTTTCCTGTATTAAACATCAACAAATAAATCTTGATGTGATTGTCTTTCAGTACCAAGAGGTATTCCTGTATAGAACTAAACAGAAGAAATAACAATATCCTGCAATATAGAATTGGTAAGTATTATTAAGACGCAGAGAAACTGTTTATCTTTCACAGATAATATAAAAAATAGCATATGTTACAAATTAAGACATCTGCCGTATACAGTTGTGCACACCCATTGCGTTAATGAATATATACAAAATAAAGTATGTTAGCTATTAAACTATTACTTATTCAAGAAAACAATGCGCCTTTTTTCGCCCTCCCCATTAGTACACACCATGTATATACATGTTTATCAATTACATGTGAGTGGCGAAATTAACATTAGACAAACCATGATTTTTTCGACAAAGGGCGAATATTTGACTGCGTGAAAGTGTTGCGGTGTACGGTATAATACATGTTATTAACCTGTTGATGGTTATGGCATATAACATTAAAATATCAAATCATTTATAACTTCTTCAATACACAATTTTACCCTGACATTATATTTTATCAATGAAGGTCACAGTCTAAGACAAGATGAAGAATTTGGGGAGATATGCCAGTTTCATGACGACCCCTACCCTCTTATAGACACATATAGGAGTTCCGGCATGAAAAACCTTATACGTAAGTTGTTTACCAGATTAAAACAAATGCCGTACTAGTACGGCGGCTGAATGAGGAAAACCAAAACATAATTTGATCTCGTCATATGGAGTAAAATAGTGTTATAACGACTTTGCATCTCGCATTATGATTTAATTATTCATTATGCAATAGGTAAGTATTGCGATATACAGTTTTAACAACTTATTTTCTCTCTATAACGACTAAGTATCTCGTTATAGCGAGTAAGTCATTATCAACTAATTATTTGATTTGCCTCAATAAGTCACCATATATTAGAGCCAGCATCTCTTGTTTAATATTCTAACTTATTTGTAACTGAAAACGAAATTTGCATGTATGGATTAATTTGTCACGATATTTAAATAGCGTAGACAGACTACATTATATATTCTAAATAATGATTCAGTGTCTTTTATTAACTATAAAGCATGAGTGATATCTTTAAACCATCGATCAATTGAAAAAAATATGCATTTCGTGTAAATCAATAATAAGAGCCTAGCTCTCGGGAGCCCAAAGGCGCCCGAGAGAAGCTCTTTAATGGTAACGCATGCGTGCGTAAACAGAGTTGCTTCCCCTTTCTACAACTTGCCCTTGATTTTTTTTCGTCCAGAAGTAGCCCTCCAGTGGGGAAACCGGATATGTATCCTTGAAGCAAAGACAATATTGAGTTTCACCCAATACACGAACATCTTCGTATAATGAAAACAATACCCATTTTTATTACTTGTTTATTTAGATAAAAACTAATATACATGTACACTCTGTGTGAAAAAAAATCTATCACATAAATTTTGATACTGGCATGAAACGTCGTTCGGAGATTATGATACGATGACGTCACAATCACGCCACACTCCATCGGCCTTCATCGGTTATTCCCGGAAGGATAAAAAATAACCGGGGAATCTTGGAACTGATGGCCGTTGCATTTATCTCTTTGTCGTTGCTTCATGACTTTTTAATTTCAGTTTCTGACACAGTCACAAAAAGTACAAACGCGGATGTTTTCTGAAGATCCTTTTTGTTACCAGCAAGGTTCTGTTAATATTTCTACCGGGAGATATTTTCAAAAAGAGCCGCATTAAACCAATAGGTAAACGTGTACATTTATTTTTCATCGTCTAAAATTTCATCAGCTTTTGATTTCCATTTATTGAGGATATGAACGAAATAATTAACATTTTTGAAAGTCCGGTTACAGTCTTTACATTATTTATGTTTGCATCACCACTCATAAAAGAAACAATGGATAATTCATTTATATCGAAATCAACGCCGTTTTTCAGCAACGTATAACTTATAACTATAGTTACAGACAGAAACTGTTTAATTGTATCTGGCATCATTACATGTTAAACCTCAGTGACAGTTACATTTTTTTTAATTCAATCGGTGTTTCAGGATGGAACAGGAATTCTAAACATCGATATAACGACAATCTCAATTCTACATCAAATTATTGCAATGCTTTCCGTTTTTTCATTTCATATTTTTAACTAACACATCTATACATTTACTTTTATAGACATATGGTCAAATATGTAATATGCACTTTTCTCTATACCAATTACCAAACAGTTTTTCCCCACCTTATTTGAATCATTCTTTTTGTGACCTCACGGAAGTACGCAGAAAATGTAATTCTTAATGTGGGAGGAAGCCGGAGTATCCGGAGAAAACCCGCGTGGTCGGGCAGGTAACCGGGATTGAATCCGGCCATCTTGATGAAGACGAGCGCGCTATCGTCTGCCCCTACCGACCCATCATATACGTTACGCACAAGAACAACTATCTGCTTTAGCTTTGAAAATGGCGTCATTGATGCTAATATTTACAACTTTAAAGATCTTAGCAGTTTAGTTGGCTAGGCATTCACATGAAAAAAATGGCAAGGAAAACTCTAATGTAAAATTACTAAACAAATAACTTTTGAAAAAGAAAATCATGATCTCGCTTCTAGTGATGCGAACGTTCGCTAAAAAAATACGGTCAAACGCGTAACACACTGACAGCTTCAAATGATATACATGGACATAAAAAAAGCCGAACACTCACTACGATATTGCTGTACGATAAGAATTTATTGAAAATCAATTTGGGCCCGGACAGTTTCAGCCAATGATACCGTGGCAAGTTCGGCCCATGTAACACATAAAAAGTCGAAAAGTTGGCGGTAAAATCTGACGTTGCATGCTTTATAACGTCATAATTAAGCTGATTACAATGGGGCAGAACTTACACGAATGCCGACAAGTAAAAATTAAATAATGTTCAAAAACGGACGTGCTGCCATACCTCCCAGAACGGACTTTAATAAAAATGGGCCGAATTTGCCCCGATCTCCCCTATTGTTGTGTCGGTCTTGATCTCATTAGAGTTTATGTTTTATTGTTATCACTCGACTAGCCGACTTTAAATAAGTTGTATCTTGCCTCATTCTAAAAGCTATATTATCTCATTCTAAATCAGTAAATATCAGAGATCAACAAAAGCTTCGCTCTTTTGAAGCTTTGCCTTTTCATATTAATTTGACATTGAAGAATATATGTTCATGATGTTATCTTACTGAAAAGACTGTGTGTAAATTATAGTTATTGCTACAATTTCAATGACATTTAAACATATTTGTATGAAGCAATATTTGTTCTATTCCGAATACCTATAAATTCAAGTAAAATTTTCTGTAAGACCTGCAGGACGTTATTTTCTTCGAATACGTAATTTTAGCTAAAAGGAAAATAACTCTCATTAAGAGCAAAGCATGTACTAAAGATTCATACATATGTATATGTAATTAGCCACGTATGCTATCCTTTTGTCCCACTAGATAGATGGTATTTTTGTTACAGTAAATGGCCGCCTGTGGGACCAGTTCTGTGGACTAAGGAGTACCATACCTTTTAACGGAACGTTTAACGATGAAGAGTGCTATGGTTATATATCTGATTGGGACGATCAGGGATGTGTTCCGAGAGGCACGCTTAAAGTTAGCGCAGATAATTGTCTGCCTTTATTAGCCTCAAAAAGAAAACGTAAGTCGCAATATATTATAAATTCAGTCCGGAGGAAGTTGTATTTCTTTGTTTGTATCTTTACGTATGTCAAGACGATCTTCTATATAAATATGCTGACTTCTAATTGCTGTTAAAACTCATTTATTGAAAACAGTTTCCTTTAGACAAAAATGTTTCAAGGCAGTCAAGCCCTAAGACAATTGTTAAAAGGGTGTTTACTTTTTTAAATGAATAGGGAACACTTTAGATGTTAAAATGATACGAGGAAATTAGTGCGTGCTGGCATCTGTCAAAAATTCACGTGGACGTGGTAGCATAATGAAATTGTACCTAATGACTATAGAAATTGATTATATACCAGATGTTGCTTATTCTTAATACAAAGAAATAATCCGGAACAGTGACTATATTCGTTGATATGAGCATTAACCACTACAATTTGCAAATTGCGATCAATCATCAACAACAGATTACGTATGACCTACATTTCTGTAAAAAAACAACAACAAAAAAACCAACCTTATACCAGTCTGCAAAATGCTAAATTCATTTTGTTTCCATGCGTACTGACACTTTTCTTATATTCCACCGATTCAAGACGGCTTTTTCTGCAGCTACTTTCAAATGAAACTGCACCTCAGATGATTTGTTTTTGATATTTCAACAACACCATATTTATATAGACCAACGGAAGGATAAGTTAAAATTATTTAAATATGCTCACATACCAATGTATACCGAAATAAGAAACAATACCTGTTTTTTGTATTAATCTTTTACGTGTTTTATGTTCATAAAGATGGTCAAAAATGATAGTAAGAAATCTCACAAGAGATATGCTCATCAAACACACAGTCGATCTTTTATACTCGAAGACTTTTATCAAATTAAAAACAAACACATTCATGATTATGTACATGTTTTATGAAAATGAATTTGAAAACAGGTTTAACTGAAGCGAAAACGTCGGACATTGATTATTGTTTAAATTCAAGAACGGAAACCTATTGAAACAATGCCATGATGCGCCTTTGTTCACACTCATATTTTAAACATCTTGTTTAATTACCTCATACAATACGCATTGTATTTCTTAGACTATACAACATATTTACTTTTCTATTCATGATTAACTACATTTTCTCTCGGCAGTTTTAGCCCCTGTCGATAGACTTTGGAACAAAATCTAGCCCCTGTCAATAGATTTTGGAACAAAAGCAATTTAAACTCTTATTTCTATATTATTGCCATATTACATTATGGTGATCTATCTTTCTTTTAATCGAGGGTTGATCGAGCAGTTATCATTTGCTGAAAATCAAATAACTACCTACTTTTTTCACATTGGTATTTGAATTAAGAGATTCATGTCGGAATTTATAATAAATAACTCAGCTAACAAATTTATTGCATTTTCTTAAAAAGTTTGCGGTAAGCAAATTATCAACTACCTTATTGTCAAGGTTATTCGTAATTACTCCCTAATATTTGTCATCAGGTCAACAACATATCAACTTCATCTCTGAAAACATCAAACGTGGTTATGGTAAAGTGATACATTACCACTACCATTACTGGTTCATAGCTCTTAATATGTTTGCTGTTCCTTAGTTCTTTTTTCTATACACATTATTTGATAGTGTTTCACTGCTAGGCTATTTTCGTGAGCTAGAGACACGGAACGTATATCTAGTAGTTTCCAGTGACATACAAAAACGGGACGTAACCAAATGCTGATCATGGTCATTCTTTGTATTGTAACAAGGATTGTTTTTAAAATCATTCCTATTATTTAAAATATAGATGTTAAACAAAGAAAGGCGAAGCGAGCTTAAGCCGTAGCCCGACGTGGGTATGATAGGGAAAAGTGCTATTAAGTTTGTTCAAATCAATGTCCTCAACTCGCTTTCAAAGTATGATGGTGTTAAATGAGTCAGAACCTTACAATTGTGTCTTCGGAATAACAGAAAGGCTTATGGTCTTGATGTTGTTTCAGTAGGATGCAATGAGGAAGAGGCGATAAGTCTGATTGGATGAATTTCCATGACATGTATCAAGACAAAAAAAGGTCATTTGTGTTAAAATCTTTCAACAACATCCGAATATTTGGTCGGCTTTATTATAATTTTGTTCAAATAACTGATTTTGACCCACTTTCAAGATAGGATTGGCTGTGACCAATTAAAATGATCACAGGAGTCAAATGCATAAACGAGTTCCTATGAATGACCTAGGGTCATATAAATAGTGATAGTATTGGGATGGTTGGTACCATATGAGAGAGACGGGCTATCATGTCCGTTTTATCCATTCACAAGGTATCAGAGGTCAAATGTGTCACAGAATTAACAATTTATAAAGAGGCCTGGAGATAACAAGTGGCTGGTACTTCTACTTCTACTTCTAAATGGTACTGACCAACTTCAACAATTTGAAGATAAAATGTCAGACGAGGAGTGAAACATGGAAAGAGATTGTTTTTAAAAGGTACGAGATAGTCAAGGTACGAGATGGTCTAATTTGCGTTTGAAAGGTGACGGTAGAGGGCTGGTTTGAATGATTTCGTTATGGGGCTCGAAATAATGTCAGGTCGGAGTTTATTCCACTCGGGTATAGTTCGAGGGAAGAATGATGCCTTTCTGGTCTGGGTTTTTGAGTGGGGAATTTGATACAAAAATTGGTGGTTTGTTCGGGATTTTCTAGCTGCTAGCGTGCTGGTAAGAAAGACTATCGATGGTACTAAGTATAAACGAACTTTTGTGGTAAGAGGGATTGATGGGGTATATGGAAATGTTAAGCAACCTTTTCTAGCTCTCTGTCATTAAATAAGATATATAATTTGGCATTAGGCTAGCTGGAACAACACACTATCAACTGTTTCGTGCTAGCTTTTTGCTATAAACACTTCGTTAATAAATTGTACTACTTGTTACAAAAGAAGGAACATGCGAGAAGTGCATTTACTGAAGAGCACAGAACAAGAGATGAGCAGTTTGGTCCCACTGGGTTCCCCATTTCGATTACTTTTCATAAACAATTTCTTGTATCAAGACATTAATTTTTTGATGTCATTGTATATATTCTCTTTAACAGAAATGCAATTTATATTCACGAGCAATATGTATTCTCTGTTTAATAGAGTACCAGTGCCTTCTGTTTCTAAAGGACCAAGTTGGACTTTTCGACCACCTGCTCATCACACGGTCAATGGATGGGCGAAATGAGTTTAACTGTTGGGTAAGAAACATATTACATACGTGCCGTAGACATTTTATTGAATTAAATTAACTATATTCCGTCTTTGATTGTTACGTCATTTGTTTGTGAGAGTAATGTCATCAATTTATGAGAAAGCGATGTAATTTTCTCACACAAACCAATGACGTAGCAATCAATACCTGCTCACAAGAGAAGATAACTCTGCAATACGCAAAGACGGAATATGAAAGCTTATACGTCTTTATAATTCACTACTAAGTTGTTACTTTATGTCAGTTTTCAACACGCAGAAGATTTCGAAATATGATATAGAATTATGTATGCTTGAGCGGTCTTGACATTATTCTTCATTGTAAACTGTGTTATATAATATGCTGTCCTAATTTGTCACCAACATTTTCAATACCCATATATCAAACTCGTGTTTAAGGCCTTAAAAGCACCTCCGTAGTATGTTATCGTCACTGGAAGCTGATATCATATAAATGAAAGGACTACAATTAAATCAGAATTATCGCTTGGTTATCAGGTAATATCCCAGTACGCAGGACCGGGATTCACATTGCCCTATCGAGTTGTGTACCAGATGCCGACTCCACAATGTTCGTCCTTTTCCAATGTCTATGTGCACGTGGACAGACGTCCAAAAGCTACTCTACAGCTCATGGATGGTGTGTACATACGAACAAATTGAAGATGAATTCCATTTTGTACTTAAATTACCTTTGTATTCAGATTAACGTTAAAACCTTAAGAAATGTCATCATCGAAAACCTAGTGTATTCTAGCTACTTCAACTGTTAAATGTAAACAATGTTAAAGAACTCAATAAAACGGGAAAATTTGTTCATTTGGCATTCAAGAAAAGAAAATATCAAAATGAAGGGTTCCATATGATATTTTTTAGTTTAAGCATGTAAAATCACTCCGTAATGATTCACTCATCGTTTGTTTGTATATATTGGACATATGTAACGTATGGACCGCAAGGCCTAAGGAATGAAGAACATTGAACATTGACAAATGAAATCCAATTAAATATATTTAATAAATACCCAAATGCATTCCACTTGAATTCACTTTTTAATATCTCTGGAAAGATTAATGTTTATAAGGTAATCTATGGAGCTATGTTTACCTGACGAAATTTCAGATTTGTATATAAAAGATCAGAACACTTTTCTATTTTGTTTAAGTTTTCAGACGCATTGGTTAGATCATAATATACTACTTTTTTCAGACCGTATGGCACGAAGATGTATACCAACAGAAAGGGAAGCACAAACACACCGTGAGCGAGAGAGCCAGAATGTGACGGATGTGGAGGTCACAACCATGAATGACGAGAATCGTGAAGTATACAGCATACAACAAGAAGACAATATTGACGAGACTATCATTTCTGTCGCCGGGCTAGAAAATAAAAATCAAGGCCAATTCAGTGGGGCGATACCCATTCAAATGACTTATTATTCTGTAATGCTTATTGAAGCTGTGACGTGCGCAACAATGTTCATAATTACCTTATGACACGATATAATGTAAAATATAGTTGTATACTAAATGTTTCTATATTATATATATATTACATTTAAATCCATCAGATGCGTGAACATATGTTTCTTTAGTGTAATTGTATTTATTTTCGGAAGTTCCTACAAATTCTTTAGAGATACGGTGTCCTAAACAATTATTAAAATAATAAAATCATGTAAATTAAACGAAAAGAAACGCCTAAATATATTGGAGATTAAATATATTATATTCATTGATTTGTTTATCCATGCAAAGCTGTTACAACGATTGCTAGATCTGAAAATAGAAATCTATTAACCAAATATAAAAACGTGACTATCGATAATAGATAATTAAGAGTAAAAAGAATCTAGTGAAAGATTTGCCTGTGCAACTTCAATTATGACGGTATTAGCAATGTACTGTTTACTCAAAACATACTTCTATTCAGGAAATAAATAATTATGAGAAAGGGTTTCAACTGACATTTTATATCAAATATATAAAAGCTATTCTCCGCTTGCTCTTATGACGCCTATATTCCATGGACGTTGGGAACTAATTTGGTATATTAAAACATCAAATTAAATCAAGAATGAAAAATATTAGAGTTGAAATACAGCTGGTACTGTTAATTGTATTACGCAACGTATCAACGACTCAAAACAAAATAAAACAACAATGTGGATCCTAATTATTTTGTTATTTCGTCACACTTACAATCGACATTTTTTTTTTTTTTTTTTGGAAATATAAACTGTCTAAGGGGTTGGAAATTGCATAGAATATGTTCTGACAATGTTGTTAAACTTACAATAATGATATCTTAATTCTTACGTTAGATTATTAAGTTGGCAATACATACGGATTTATTAGTCTATATTAGAACGAAAAATACCCTAATTATTGTGGAAAGCTGTTACTGGGGGAACACTTACGTTGCTTATTTACGGGTATATACATGTACATGTGAATGTTTAAAGCTAAATTGACGGTGGGAGTTTGAAGTGTAAAGAGCTTTGTGTTTCTTTTGATTAAATGCGTATGCATTTTTGTTTTCATATACAATACGCGATATTTGTTTATTTGAGTACACAGATTCCTCTCTTGTGGAAAACAGCGTTGCATATGTTATATATCATAAAAGTATGACTTCATTTGATTTATAAGTGCAATTTTACTTTGAATGATGAATCTATTTCATCGAGTTAACATGCATAGAAGATATCCAATGTTTAAATGTTGAATACCATGTATATTTCACTCGTGTGGCAGACTACTAATATATTTGCATTTTAAAGTATTCTGCTGCATGTTTCTATTTTTGTGGCGTATGCAATGGCCGGGGAAGGGGGAGGGGGTTCAATACTATATTAATGACTTTTTCATCTCTGTTGTAGATGACCACTTTGTTTTTGAATGCGCGCCAGAATTCTATCTTGTTGAAATGCAATTCCAATGACCTCACAAGTCGAAAACAGCAAAGCTGTAGTTTCTATTTGTTTTGTATTAACAAAAATATGTCGCAAGTATTCAAAAGTTCCCTGTTGCTTCGACCAGTTTAGAAAATACATCGGTATTTTCCGTTGGTTTGCAATTTTTAACGTGTCTATTTTTGGTTTTTATTGGGCAACCCTTTTTTTTTTACAAGAATACTTTTGTCCCTGAAGAAATTGAAAACATAATTTGTTTAAACTCAAATATAAAGAACCTGATTCATCGATGATATCATTAGTCATACTTTTTTTAATTGAATCTTTTTCTTCCACAAAAAAATAAAACATTTTGTTATATTTTACTGTTCCGATTTCATCATAGTAGCATGCTATTCCGACCAGAACATTACATTTTGATTGGTATTTTCATGTCAAACACCACTCAGTTTGGCTACTACTTGTATTGCGATTGTTTATCGAATTTGAATTGGGGGAAAAAAAACCTTTCTATTCCATTTTGAATCAGTATTTGCGAGTGGTTTTGAATGCAATTGACCGATCCATGCGTATTAACCCGAACATTCATTTTTCGTTACTTTCTTTCCGTTCATGGCTCATGATTGTTCAATATTTCTGATGGATATGATTATGATGTCTTCCATGATACGATCGATATGTAGTTCATTCACTGCACGTGTTACTAGACGTTACATTTACAGAAAATAATTGTGAATTTTTGAGTATTTCATACTTATTTTAGTACAAGTGTTATATATAAACATTATTGTCATTTTCTGTAAATACGAAACCTGTTTTTGTTGACTCTTTTCTGTTTAATGACTGTTTTCATTATTGTTGGGTTTAGAAATACGTATTGTATTGGATTGGAGAATTAAGGCGAATACAAGGTTTTAGTATTCTATTAAAGAGCGAGTGTTGTTTATGTGTTGTGAAATAGTACACATTCAATGACAAACATAATGTCATACCCAAACAATGTGATCTGCCTTACTTGTTATACAATATAAGCGTCCTTAGTAGATCAATTTTGTAATCGTGTATGTATCTGTTAGAGTAAAGAATTACGTATGTCTACATGTTCCCTATTGTTTCGTTATAGGTACGTTTTATGTATTAAAGTGGGTTTTATATATGTTCTGTGTACAGTCACGTGTGAATTAAAACACGTGCGAGTGTAAAAAAAACATGCCAACGAGCTAGCGAGAAAGAGATAGGGAGATATAAAGCAAGTGTGTGAGAGAGAAAGAGAGAGAGAGAGAGAGAGAGAGAGAGAGAGATGAGCAGTTAAGGGGCATTCTTAGCATCGGATCTCATAATCGTCACTCTTTATTTCATTTGTTATACATATCGTACCTTAAACATATTACATGCATTGTTTTTGCTTATATGTTCCGGTAGGATAGGTATTTTTTTTCTACAATTGGGGCTCGTTTCTGCTTGGTCAATATTACTTCATAAACATGATCAACCTATAAGTTCTTATGCATTGCATTATAGAGGTAGTTTAGGATAATCATATTGTTACAATATTCAAAATCAGATTACAGTTTTACGTTGTTTTGTTAAATGTTCGTATCACGGCTTTCGACTATCAGTCTGATCTATTGATAGTTATGGTTCATTCATATAACCAAAACAGTCATTTTCGTACAAGTTTTTGATACTTAAATAAAAGAAAAATACTGCATTAACATCTTGGATCATGGAGGAATAAATGCATGTATTTTCTCCGTTTTCATAGACATTTCATGTACATCAGCATACGCATTTCCTCTTATTGTGAAAAGGATCCATGTAGGACAACCAATAAGTGTTATTTACAACACTTATTGATTGTGCTACATGATTTTTTTCACAATTCATACTTACCAACATGAAGAACCCATTTTTAGCAACATTTCCCTTTAGAATAAAAAAATGATTTTTGCAAATATCACACATTTTTTTAAACAGATAAAAGGTTTTGATGGTAGAAATCGTTTTTATTCGAATGGATTACCATACATTTTAATGAACGAAGTCAGAAACAAAAGTCATCCTTAAACGTTTTACTCTACTCCAAAGTCATTCAAAATGTGTAATCCAGGTTGTTGTGTTTTTTCAGAAATTAAGACAAAGAATTAGTCATTTCATGAGAGGCACCTGTCAATCCACTATTCCTCAAATGGATATTTACAGTACTGGGTGTATAGATACAAGTAGGGCTTAACGACGAATAAAGCTACAATGAGTTATGTTTTGTTCTAATCATTTGTCAAAAAATACCTTACATCGTGCATACTCTAACAGAGATTGATAAGAGCATGTTTACAAATAGCGATAATACTGTTAGTACAGGTGAATGGACTACGTGCCCATGACTTGGGTTATTGTGACTCATGTAGCTACATTCGAACTGTATCTAATGTCGTTTATATTTTTCTATCGCCAAAACAACGTGAACATGTAAATATAAACATTGGACTGTTGCTTCTAGGCTGACATCAACAACATGTGTACAACAGACAATCGATACACCGATACTAAATGCACTAGAGATGATAGACATCGCTCTACCAATAAGCATTAGCCGACCAGGGTTAAATTGACATATTCAATCAAAGTCTTTTTGTCATCTTGTTATCATCAACATAATTAATAGTCAACCTTTTGTTATGCTTTTTTCTGAAAACGTAAATTGTCAATGCACATACAATGTCGTTCAGTGACCTACGTTAAAAATAGTGGTTAAATAAATTACGAACTACACATAAGAAATATTAATTATTTTGGGTTTAAGACATGTTGATAATCATATCACACCAAACGTTGTTTTGTGATTTATGTAAAAAGCTATGGTATTCATGAATACTACACAACACCACTTTCCTTTCATAACATTTAAGATATGAACCTGTGGGCTCTTGTTTAATTCATTTATTGAAAACAATTCAAGGCATCATAGACAAATGAATCATTTCATCATACTACTCCATTTATTAAGAAACATTGCATATGCATTTGTATGCATTTGTTAAATACCTTGATCTTGTAAATAAGATATTATTATATTAACTATATATATATATATATATAATAAAAAGTGATTAAATGTCCATGTGAAGGAAGTGAATATAGAAAAAATAAAATTAACGACCGACTAAAAAACTAGCTGCTTTCACCCTTCACAGGGCTCTTCAGGTTTATTCAAAAGAGAACAACGTCGTGACGTCACAATTACATGTCATCACACTACAATAGTAACGTGACGTCACGAAGTACACAAGATTGGTGGACAATTTGGCGTAAAATTTTATTGTGGCCTGTTGAGACTCGGTTTTAATATTTTTATTAGTTGGTCTTCTTTCGTTTCTCTTAAAATAGTGTCTGATGAAAATAGTTGATACAAAGGTAATACATTAAATTTATCTCCAGCACATTCATGAATATGTTTGTTAACATGAAGATTTCGTAAAGAATCAGTTCTAGTTTGTTGTCTATGTACAGTCATACGTGTTCTGAGTTCATTACCGGTTTGACCGATGTAAAAATCACCACATTTAGAACAAACGATTGCATAAATTACATTTTTTGATTTACAATTCATATTTACCTTCACAGTAAATTTCAAACCATTCTTGAAAATAAAAGTATTACACTCGATAATCATAGGACATGTAGCACATCTTGGTGTCTTACATTTGGATACTTTTGGTGTTACACAAGAATTATCAAACTTAGAACATGTCAACATACGTTTCAAGTTTTTAGGTTGGCGTCTACAGTGTAAAATAGCATGTTTATTAAAAATGTTTCTCATACGCCTGCTACTTTGCTTTAACTCTTCACATTTGTTCTTTATCACAGGAAACATATTACAATTCCGTGGATTGAAAGTAGAAACAAAAGGAACTAACTTTGATTCATCCTTTAGTTTTTGTAGACGGGAAGTAAAGGGTCCCTTTTCAATAGCTTTCTGTATACCATGTTCTATTATCTCAGTAGGATAACATTGAGCTTTAAGGTATTGCTTTAGTTGACTTAGTCTAGCAATTTGAGCTTGTTGGTCACTGACGATAGTGACAATCCGTGAGGCAAGATTAAATGGAATATTAACTTTAGTGTGTTTACTGTGGTTAGAGTAAAAATTTAGATAATTATGTGCATCTGTAGCTTTACAATATAAATCCGTTGTAATCTTATTTGAATCTAGTTGAACTAAAACATCTAAGAAAGGTAAAGACGTTTCGCTACACTCCATCGTATAACAAATAGAAGGATGTAAAGAATTCAATAGGTTTTGAAATTCATTTAAATCCTTATCAGAAGGCCATATAACAAAACAATCGTCAAGGAACCTTAAAAAATTATTTCTGATAAATTCAGTAAAGTTTTCCCCAAACTTTGTCTCAATCTTAGAATAAAGTGTTTCCTCTAAGTATCCTAAAACTAAGGTTGCATATGTAGGGGCAACTTTAGTTCCCATCGCTGTACCCTTAATCTGTTGAAAGTATTCTTGCTCAAAATAAAAAGAATTACGATTGAGGACAATGTCTAGAGCTTGCAGTATAAATTCATTACTAAAACGAGAATTAACTTTTTCTCGTTTTTTGATCAACCAATATTTAACAGCTTCAATACCAAGATCATGCGGTATATTAGTGTATAAACTAACAACATCAAAAGAAACAAGTTTAGCATTATGTGGGACCTGTTTAGATAAACGGCTCAGAAAATCAAAATCATCTTTGATATAACTGTTTACACTTGTGCATAAAGGTTTAAGAATGAGGTCTACAAGATGACTCAAACGTTGCGTTGCACTATTAGGGCCGCCTACTATGGGTCTAAACTTCAAATCCGTAGGATTTTCAACTTCAATATATGTANATATGCACACATGAGGAAAGGGAAAATTTTGAATTTGCATGTGTTTTATTTTCACATAGTTGACCATAAAAGTATATGGATAAAACTAGAATAGTCAAGCAAAACGTAAAGATGTCTTAGGAATAACATGTATAACTAAGTGTATTATATGTATATAAATACATACGCATGTACATAATGAATTGAAATAAAGAAAGACATTTCATGTGCGTTAATGATATATTTTAATGCAGAGTTTCACATTTAAAATTAGCATAAAGTTTAGATAGACACGCACATTAGTGCGTGTTCAATGGTTATGGAACCTGTATGGTATGCAAATAATTTGTTTGAATATGTTTGTGTTGCTGTTTTATTGTTATTATTTGAGACAAAGTGATGTGAAATTGTTAATATTTTTATTGAACGAATGACCTCCACGTTGGTGAGATCTATATGACATACAAATGTATTGTATCCATAGTGTATAAGCTGGTCAATGTCGAAACAAAGTGATGTTATAAACTCAGTTAGTACCATATTAAATATCTTGTTTGTTGTTTTGTTTAGTTAGCGTGTATCGTACTTAAACGGATAAATACTTTTAATTTAGCACGAAACAAAATTCAACAATCAACAAAAGTATGCAGAAAATACTCATTATTTATTTGTGTGACTGCACTACTCACCAAATACAGCGTGCGTACACCATACATGATATTTGGCACAATTGGTTGATCATTATAACGGAACAATACAAATACGGAAGACTTGTATAAAATAAGGTACAGTGTAGGTACAATGTATTTCATTGAAGTCATCATGTTTTTAAATATGCCATTTTACAATTCGTTTTACACAGTATTCTGGTGACCCATAAAATTTACAAGAGTGGGGCCTGGCTTCCAGGTTTAACAAAGAAATACCATTTTGATGAGTGACCATAAGTTTTGCCAGGCCTATGTCTGACACAGAAAGTTGATAAGTGACAATGTTTGACAAAAATGAAAACGTAACAGGACGTTAAATACATCTTTACATGTATTAACTACGTTTATGTTCGCCTATAACATCTCTTCACCTTGCATCAGCCGGGTGACCACAAGTACGGCTCAAGTACAGGTTCCAAACGGCTATACTTCTCTGTATACGTGTACATATGTGACTGGGTGCGATGTGTGTTGTGTACGTGTCGAAACATAATGCGCACACAGTGCACACATCACACACTATGACTCATACCATCATCGTGTAACTTTGTACCATCCCATAACTGTGTGTTCTTAATACCTTTGGCGATTTTTTTTTTTTTTAGTAACATGACCGACTAATTTAGTTGAAAGGAAAAGTCACTCAATTGCTTCGTTATATGCGTAAATAATGCAAGTGAAATGACGTCATAAGCTTTAAGATCATATGATCGTAGAATATACTTAATTCGCGTCATTCTTAACATGATTCATAGAAGTATTATTTTTACAGTGTGGTAAAGTGAAATGTCCATATTAAAATTTTATTTACGTATCTACCATCTACCCCCACCCCCCATCCAACCCCACCCCAACCCCACACTGTCTACGGATACATTTGTGTACACGTGGTGAAAAAAGTTTTGCCGATTAACACGTGGTTCAAATATGGCGGAAGACTATCTTTACTTTACACTTCAGCGAGAAACAATCTGAAGGTAGCCATTCCTTGAATAATTAACTATTTGGAAACACGAATCGTCATCGGAATCCTTCATGTCTAATCATACAACAATCATGATTCTGACAAAATTCTTATTCAACGGATACACAATTAATGACAGCTTCGTTCGTTCTGGTACATTTGAACGCGTCACTACTTGAGCCCTCTATCAAGTGGTGAGCATAACAACCACTTATACAGAATAAACGATCAACGGGCTACTTAGAGTAAGAAATATATCATTTACAAGCTAGCAAATGGAAGACAAAAGTATTGTTCAATATTTATCTTCTCAATTTACTCATATAGGTATGATGATTCACTGGAACTAAGTTTCCTCAGAAACTATGCATACCTTAGTCACAATGTAGCAGCCCACGTTGAATGTGGCTTCTGTTGCGGAGCCTTTAAACACTTTTTTCATTTTGGGTTTCAAGTTTAAGAATACACCTTCATTTTGACGGTGTATACGGTAGTTTGAACGCAGTTGGCAACGAACATATTCTTTATTGAAAACTTACCCGCAACCAACTGGTTATTACATTAAGTCACACAGTTTGAATTGAAACTAATGCTGTCCAATAAATGCGATTGAATTCAAGAGCTGACCAAAATAAAAATAAAAAAGTCAAGTTTGGCAATTAAAAAAGTGCATCGATTCTAAAAATGTTGAAATTTGACTTTACCAAAACGCCCGCAAAGCGAAATGAACATTACATTTTTGCTGAAACATGACGATAATGATTGCTGTTAGCCATATATATGTAAATGACAATAGGTATGTTTGTTATCTTTAAAAGGCAACACTTATATTGGTTTTATATTTAAAAGGGTTGTACATAATCTATATTCATGTGTACACGTGATACCGCCTAAACGCCTGTGGTACTTCGCATATATCCTCTACTCTGTGAAGATAGTCATTAAGGCTAACAGTACGTCAGGGTTTAAATAAGAGGCGTGCTGTATTGGTCTCACAGTAGGCGAATCCATACTGTCACTGAACGATGGATTTCCTACCTCTGGTAAGTATTTTATTTCTATAACAAAAATGTTCCTGTTACATTTTATCTTATGCACTATTAGGTCTACAAGCAACTGTTCTTGATCCAGCTTACATAAGATCTTTTTTTTAAAAATCTTTTTGGTTGTGTAAGAGAAGTGTACTATAATAAACAAAAACTAGCTTGCTTAATGTGAGGAAACGTACAAGTGTTTTCAGACTGTGTTTACACTTATATTTCATAAAATACTCAGAACACCTTCACACTAGGGCTAGCTATGTCAAGGAGATCAGCATTATTTTTGGACACAGACGTAAAGTATTGATAGGAGACAATTTGATTAACACACACGTCAAGACATGATATAAGATATTTTAGCATCTCAGTGATTATATATAGATTTTAATTATACTAGTTTATTATGAACATCAATGTCAGTGTGAATGAATCTGTACACAATTATTTTACCATCGTATCTTCAATAAGATTCATCAGTTTGGAAATATGTGATATCAAAGTTTTACTTTCAACACAAACAATTTACGTTTTAAACGTGTCGCAACGTTTTAAGACCGACTGGTCCCTTTGTCAAGCAATAACTGAGTGAGCAATTTGTTTTTTTTTTAACCTGTACAACAATGTGACGAACTTGTTTATTTTACATGTCACTCGACCCAAGACGTTTCGCCTATCGATAGGAAGCGTACACACACTGTATCAGATAGACAGATATACAGATACACACTGTATCAGACGTTACGACATGTTTAAAACAAAAATGTACGTATATTGTTTGTGTAGAAAGTAAAACTTTGATATCTTAACATCGTCTTTTCTGATGAATTACTTGAAAACAAATGTTGTCATTTATTAAGTATATATCAAGGAATAAGTATGCTTATTTATCTACATGGTTATACAGGCTCTGGTCGTTGGTGCTCTGGCGTTCTGTACTGGTGAAGAATCATACTTCTCTCTTGATGAGCGTGACATTGAATACGGACCGTACTACGGAAGTGGTGACGGAGATTCTTACCCTCACGGCTACGTACCACCGTCCACCCAAGATTGTGAACACTTATACATAGATACAAAACCGATGCAATGCTCTGATTTTATCACAAGCATTCCGCGATCCTCTGCTTTTCTCTATTTTGTGTAAGTAACGTGGTAATAAACTAAAATAGCTGAGCGTCTGTTTGCTGGTTTTGACGATGATATATATTTGTACTCAAAGGTTTAAGCAGTGATGCGTTTAATCTTTAAATCATGAATTGTTTCCTATAAAGTTCCGGGTTTGAGACAATCATTAAAATTCGATTAAATTAACGGTGTTTGATTAAATTTCGAGGATTTACTTATCATTTGAATTGACGATAAACTTAAATTGATTTTCAAGGTTAAAACAACAACTTTTATTAATGTTCAATTTACGCATATTTGTATGTGTTACTTTTAATGGTATATAAGTTATTCATATTAACTTGAACAAATTAAAAAAGAGTTCTTATTTCGAAGCTTAAACAAACAGTACAACAAGTATTAACTTTCTTGATTTATTCAATTATTTGGTTTTCCGTTCAACGTTTAAACTTTGATATATGATAATTTTCAAATTTAAAAGAGTGATTTTTGTATTACTGTATGAGTATGTGTTGATTATTTCAAATAAGAAATATTGACATAAAAAGTTTTCTTATTTTCTTTGTATTTCGGCATCAGACATGCAGCGCATTATTTACTGTACACGGACGACTACTATTTTCTTATGTGGGAACTGCAGCAGATCCCGATATCAGAGGAGGTGCCGGAACCGGACTTGTAAGTATTGTTCCTTTACTCATTCATTCAAATAGGAGAATGACTGTTGCACTGTAAAAATAGATAAACAATACATATTTAGCTTTCAGAGTTACATTTGTCTCGTCATGTAATACACAAGGTCTGCTTGGTATGACATACTGTAACAGAATATCTTTAGATCTTGCTCTTTAAAGTATATAACATCATTAGACATTACCATTCGGCCAAAAATTGTCGATGGGCTGTGAAACATACAAAAACAGAACGATTAACAAACATTCCCATTCATAACGCTACTCCAAACACAACATAATGAAGTCTAATAAAGGCTCTCTTACCAATTTTCTTAACAGGACGTCACGCGAGTGTCGAACACAATCGAAAAGGTTACTAGGATATTGGAGAGATTATGGCGAACTTTGCTGGATAGTCTGGGCTGGAAGGCAAAACGTGCAGTGCGCAAACTGCCTAAAGTAAGTGGAAAATATTTTTATTTTTTTCATTTCTGATCCCCTTGTTGACTACAATTTTATCGAAATTTTCGTTATCTACTACATGTTTATTTGAAAACGGATTTCCAGTTATTGCCATAACTGTTAAACCTGTAATGTTTAAATAAATGTACAGGCATTGTTCCTCTTTATAGTTTTTTTGCTGAGCATCTCAAGAGGTATTAGACAAATAAAGACAAACACTCTTATGACATTCGGTCCTAATGAGAAGACATAAATGATGGAAACAGTGAAATCTTACTGAACATTGAATTTTGGTTCGCGTTTTGCTTTGATAAAGTGATTTTTTTTTAATAAGTTCCTCCTTTCTTCCTCTATCTACATGTAGCACTTTTCCCTTTTGGCTGTATTTCTGTCCTTTGAAACAATGTAGATACCTATTTTTGTCTGTTGACGTCTTTCTTATTGATGGCTCTTAATGAACAATTAGGTCATATGGTGCAGCAATTTTATTGTTTTTATTGTTTTTCATATTTCGATATCCCATCTGTACGTCGCGGTTCTAGTGATTATTATACATATTTCAGATAATCATGGCATAACACATTTTTTCATTTTAATTAAGTGACTACTGCTGCAGGGAATTTAACTCAACCGACGGCATCTCCCTGTTGCCTCCAACAAGTAGGTGCAGACCAAGTGGACATACCGTACAGAAATTCATTGTATTTTGTGCTTATCTCTTCGGCGACCCATACTATGGTTATTTCTACCAACATTACACATACCTGCCATCATGCTGCGAATGCAAAACTGACATTTGCAAAGCAAAGAGTAGCAACCACAAATTTGCATGATTAGGCTAAACATTATATTCCTTTTGCACTGTCGGGCTCTTAGACACGAATGATTATGTCCAATAATTGGATTTGTACTAAATACGATATGTATGATAGTGCCTTATTTAACTATACACGTACGTATATTACTTCGTTTAGAAAAAATAAATCGACAAATTTGCAGAAGCTGTTTATAAAATTGAAAATGTATGCTATTAAATTGAATAATGGTGAACACGTTTTTCTGAACAGATTTTAGGCTCGGGAATAATATAAAACATTTTCCTGAACATTTTGTTCCAACTCCTGTAAACATCATGAAGCCATTGAAGAATTGAATTGAATTAACAGCAGATCAACATTTGCGTTTCATGTAGTTCGACGTTTTAGGAATGGCGTTGTAAAATAAACACTTTTTTTTTTTATATCACCTTATAAATTAGACGAGTTTCCTATACAGTGATGTAAGAGACCGATTTTGCAGTGGAAAGTAATGACTGGACAATGCATGTGAAAATGGCAAACGGCAATGGACACCGATATTAAATCTTCATACTCATGTTGTAAAGCTGGACAAAATTTGTATGACATTATACATTATGTTACAAATAAAATATGTTTTTAAACCCAAACATTTCAAGTTTGTTTAAATCATTTTATTCCATCAGTAAGAATACGTCTTTTATTAATGTAGTGTATTCGATATTTGTCAGTAAAATCATTTACTATATATTCAGATTAAATTAAATTGTGATAAACTTAGTTAATGAGTTAATCTGAAGTCCAACTTTATAGCATCTAGATTGCCACCATAGTTGCAAGATCTGTGTATTAAAAATACAATTGTGGTTTTGTTAATCAAACTTATTCCAAGTCATAATAAAACGAATAACTATTATATCTCTATTAATCACCAACCCTTTTCATAGTCTTTATATTGAGCTACACCGCCTACTGTCTGTCATAAATACCGATCTGTTTTCTATGTTGAGATGGTTGATGACCAACACACTTTCATGTAATTGGCAATAGACATAACGACAGTAGTCACGTGTTTTGTAGTCGATGTTGACATTTAAAAACGACTTGGCAAGCCTTTGTGGTCCAGAACGTTTACTGGTATATACTTACATTATGTATGCTTGGACCCATTGGCGAAATTGAAATTCATTTTTGCATAACACATGTGACCGTGACTCCATCACTGAGAATTGATACACTTAAATGACGTAGCACATACCTTACTAAGTTCACGTCCGTGACGCGATTTGCGATTCATGAAATATGTACAGGAAGCCGAGGTTGTTATGAACTCTTGAATGTTGAAAAAATTATTAATTCTTTAAGTAAATATCTTCCTGGCTCCTTTTGTATGGAGGTTCTTGTATATTTTTTTTCTATTTTGTCTTGGAAGTTGAATTTTGTCCTAACGACGGTAAAGATATAACATCGTGTTTTAATATACAATAACGAATAGCAATAAACAAGAGATCACTGTCGAATAAACAAGACGGTGATCTGAACTCAAAATTTTTTGTAAGGACGTTCTGAAAATGTACGTACTGCCAGCTTTATTGACGACAGTCGGTATTTAGATAATGTCATGTTCTGAAAGGAAGAATCGGGGTAGTGACAATAAAATCAGATGGAACACTAAATAACTGACTAAACGTATAAGGAAACATTATATTCCTTAACAAGATCACAACAATGTCAATCGACCAGAATCTCTAAAATCCTTTTGTTGTAAGTTATAACGAAAAGGATGACATTTGGAGCAAGGCTTTTATTCAATGTCGTGATAAGCTCTGTGATGAATTGAGTCTCATACAGTTAGTCTTCAAAGTGAGCTACCAGTCGACTAGACAATCGACATGGAGCTGTTTTTGAGAGGACGTAGACTATGATTGGAGAAACCCTGTTTTGAATGGCTACAGACTCTTCTCTACATTATATGGTTAAATTTGTTCATTGGGATGGATTTCGGAAAAAAATATGAATATATAACTACATACTAACCACGGATGGTTATAACTAAAAACTGACCACATATAGTTATATCTACATACTGACCAGATGGTTATATCTACATACTGACCAGATGGTTATATATACAAACTGACCACATATAATTATATCTACATCCTGACCACAGATAGTTGTATCTACATACTGACCACAGATAGTTATATCTACATGCTGACCAGATGGTTATATCTACATCCTGACTACAGATAGTTATATCTACATACTGACCACAGATAGTTATATCTACATTGTGACCACATATAGTTATATCTACATACTAACCGAAGGGTTATATTTACATCTTGACTACAGAGGGTTGTATCTACATACTGACCACAGATAATTATATCTACATAATTAATACGTAATGTTATTTCTACATACGGACCAAGATGGTTATAACTACATACTGACAGCGGATGGTTATATCTATATACTGAACACATATGGTTATATATACATACAGACCACAGATGGTTATATCAACATACTGAAGACGTATTGTTATTTCGACATACTGACCATGGATGATTATAACTACATACTGACCTCATAAAGTAATATCTACATTGTGACCACAGATGGTTATATCTACATACTGACCACATATGGTTATATCTACACACTGACCACATATTGTTATATATATATACTGACCATATGGTTATATCTACATACTGACCACATATGGTTATATCTATATACTGAACACGTATTGTTATATCTACACACTGACCACATATGGTTATATCTACATACTGAACACGTATTGTTATATCTATATACTGACTTCATATGTTTATATCGACATACTGACCACAAATGGTTATATCTACATACTGACCACAGATAGTTATATCTACATACTGACCAGATGTTTATATCTACATACTGACCACAGTTGGATATACTTGTACCTACATACTGTCCACTGCTGGTTATATCTACATGCTGACCACATATGGTTATATATACATACAGACCACAGATGGTTATATCTACACACTGACCACATATGGTTTTATCAACACACTGACCACAGATAGTTATATCTACATATTGACCAGATGGTTATATCTACATACTGACCACAGTTGGATATACTTGTATCTACATACTGTCCACTGCTGGTTATATCGACATACTGACCACATATGGTTATATATACATACAGACCACAGATGGTTATATCTACACACTGACCACATATGGTTTTATCAACACACTGACCACAGATAGTTATATCTACATATTGACCAGATGGTTATATCTACATACTGACCACAGTTGGATATACTTGTACCTACATACTGTCCACTGCTGGTTATATCTACATACTGACCACATATGGTTATATATACATACAGACCACAGATGGTTATATCTACACACTGACCACATATGGTTATATGAACACACTGACCACAGATAGTTATATCTACATATTGACCAGATGGTTATATCTACATACTGACCACAGTTGGTTATATATGTATCTACATACTGACCACTGCTGGTTATATCTACATACTGACCACATATGGTTATATCTGCATACTGAACACAGATGGTTATATTTACATACTGACCACAGAAGGTTATATCTACATACTGAACACGTATTGTTATATCTATATACTGACTTCATATGTTTATATCGACATACTGACCACAAATGGTTATATCTACATACTGACCACAGATAGTTATATCTACATACTGACCACAGATAGTTATATCTACATACTCACCGAGTGGTTATATTTACATACTGACCACAGAGGGTTATATCTACATACTGACCACAGATAATTATATCTACATTCTGAATACGTAATGTTATTTCTACATACGGACCAAGATAGTTATAACTACATACTGGCAGCGGATGGTTATATCTATATACATATCTACATCCTGACCACAGATAGTTGTATCTACATACTGACCACAGATAGTTATATCTACATACTGACCACAGATAGTTATATCTACATACTGACCAGATGGTTATATCTACATACTGACCACAGTTGGTTATATATGTATCTACATACTGACCACTGCTGGTTATATCTACATACTGACCACATATGGTTATATCTACATACTGACCACATATGGTTATATCTGCATACTGAACACAGATGGTTATATTTACATACTGACCACAGAAGGTTATATCTACATACTGAACACGTATTGTTATTTCTGAATACTGACCACGGGGGTTATAACTACATACTTACCGCGGATGGTTATATCTACATACTGATCACAGATAAGTATATCTACATACTGACCACATATGGTTATATCTACATACTGACCACATATGGTTATATCTACACACTGACCACATATGGTTTTATCAACACACTGACCACAGATAGTTATATCTACATACTGACCAGATGGTTATATCTACATACTGACCACAGTTGGATATACTTGTATCTACATACTGTCCACTGCTGGTTATATCTACATACTGACCACATATGGTTATATATACACATATGGTTATATCTATAACCTGAACACGTATGGTTATATCTATATACCGACCACATATGGTTATACATACATACTGACCACATATAGATAAAACCATATGTGGTCAGTGTGTAGATATAACCATCTGGTCATATGTAGATATAACGAGTAGTGGTCAGTATGTAGAAGTATGTAGATATAACCCTGTGGTCAGTTTGTATATAAAACTATCAGCGGTCAGTATGTAGATACATGTATAACCAGCTGTGGTCAGAATGTAGATAAAACCATCTGTGGTCAGTAAGTAAATAGAACTATCAGTGGTCATGATGTAGATATAACCATAAGTGGTCAGTGTGTAGATATGACCATATGTGGTCAGTATGTATGTATAACCATATGTGGTCGGTATATAGATATAACCCCCCGCTGCCAGTATGTAGTTATAACCATCCATGGTCTGTATGTAGATATAACCAGCGGTGGTCAGTATGTAGATGTAGATACAAGTATATCCAACTGGGGTCAGTATGTAGAAACAACTATATGTGGTCAGTGTGTTGATATAACCATATGTGGTCTGTATGTAGATATAACCCCCGTGGTCAGTATTCAGAAATAACAATACGTGTCCAGTATGTAGATATAACTAGCAGTGGTCAGTATGTAGAAATAACCATCTGGTCAGTATGTTGATATAACCATCCGCGGGAAGTATGTAGTTATAACCATCCATGGTCTGTATGTAGATATAACCCTCTGTGGTCTGTATGTATATATAACCATATGTGGCCGGTATGTTAATATAACCATATGTGGTCGGTTTATAGATATAACCATATGTGGTCGGTATGTTAATATAACCATATGTGGTCAGGAATTATATATAATCATATGTGGTCAGTATTTAGATATAACTATCTGTCGTCAGTGTGTTGATATAACCATATGATAACCATCTGGTCAGTATTTAGATATAACCAGCTGTGGTCAGTATGTAAAGATAACCATCTGTGTTCAGTATGTAGATATAACCTTCTGTGGTCAGTATGTAGATGTAGATACAAGTATAACCAGCTGTGGTCAGTATGTAAATATAGCCATCTGTGT